GACTCCCAAGAACTTAACTAATAGCCCACTTACAGATAACATAAACTGTTGATTAACATACATTTTGTATATTAGCTGTATTATATGCTATATTCTACGATAAAGTAAGCTGGAGAGGAGTAAATGTCATTAAGAAAATCATAAGAGAAAGTACATTTACAATACTGTATTGTATCAAAAACATCCGTATATAAGTAGACCCACACAGTTCAAACCCGCGTTGTTCAAGGGTCAACTGTGAAAATAGATCATATTTTTTAAAATAATAAATACTGAAAAGTCATCACTTCCTAATTATTTTACGACATTTTATTATTGTCTATACTCGAGTTCTTTCTGTCTACTGTATCCCTATGGTAAAATATTATATAATGGTGTGCTACTATTCATCTCTGCTCAACTCCGCATTCAGAGATATCACATCGGGAACTCAAGTCAGCCATAGTGAGGATATTTACACCATGGAATTGGCAAACACTACAAATCAGGACTTGATTTATTGCTTTGTTAATTGTCTAGACTTCAGAAACCAGTGGAGAATATGTTAATAAGGTAGATTAAATTTAAATGTGTGTCATGTCTGCAGCCATTACATTTTAAAGAACACAAATGAAGAAATATTCTTCCAGCATTTGAAAACTATTCTCCAGTTCAGCAAAGAAGGAGCTCATGTCAGTGACAATCAGAGGAGTTCTGACATATGTCTTCATTGTTTCATTTTCATCCCACTTAATGTAAACTGAAGTATCAACCAACATTTATGTAAGAATTATACTCATTGATGATTGCAACCATAGTTTGGCTACACATAAGAGTTGGACAAAAATCATTGAAATAGTCTGTGAGGATCAATTGGTTATTTGAAATTTACAATAAGGAGTATTGTATATTTTATTATTTGCAAATTATGTGCTATACAACCTCTATATCCCGAAAATGTATAATAAACAAAAACATATATGCAAATTCTTTTCTCCAGAGAGCTGATTGCTCAATATTTAACAGCACATCACTGGTGGAGATCATGTGTGGTATGATATGGGAGTAAAATCCTGAACACAGGGAGGAAGGCCAGAAACTGGGTATGTCCATCAGGTGAGAGTTAATGCCTATCTTGAGACATATGCATGTGTGATTCACATATGCATGTGTGATTCAGTGGCCAGGAAGGATTGTTGCTTTGTTTTACTCTTCACCTCACCCAAACTTGGAAAGATCTAGACTACTCTGGACCCCTGCAGAATCCTCCCTTCACTTCCCACCCAATGATAGTATTAGTGAGCCTAAATGGCTCCTGTTTAGGAAAATGGGCCATGAAGGATTACTATGCTGGCAGAGGAGTGAAGGTATTAGAGACTTACCCCTTGGAAGCTTGAAGAACATGCAGCTCCTGAAAGGGACCTGAACACAGGGAGGAAGGCCAGAAACTGGGTATGTCCATCAGGTGACTCCCCCTGAGGACTGAACTTGGGGTGGTAGCAGAGTGTTACCACTGAGGGTGGCTTGCCTCACTTCTGAAGTCACATCCTATTTTAGGGGACTGGGCCAGGAGCTTCCGGAGCAAAGTGTGGTGGAGAGGTAGGCACGAGGTCCTCACAACTAACTGATTCAGGACAGATGGGAAAGCTACCCTTTCCCCAAAAAAGCACTTCAAATGGGAGAAATGCTGGTTTGTAGAGAAGTTGAAAGGAGCCTGATACTGGGTTATAGAAGTTTGTAGAGAAGCTGAAGGGAGACATTTAGATGAAGTAGAGAAAGGGAAGTTCAGTCCAAAAATGTGATTGTGGGCTGTTACATCAAGATCAGCTGTGGTTGTGTGGGGGTGTTGACCAAGAAAAGAGGCAGGACAGAATGAAAACAAAAGCAGTTATTTGGGGTCTTAGAATTTCAAATTCCAGGTACACAGATTTGGGCAGCAACCCAAATATTGTCTCCCTAGGGAATGAAGCTCTGGGGTTTTTAAAGACAAAACGTGAAGGGTTGTATATGTTGTTTACAAAGAATTTTGATTGGTGTTGGCAGCAGAAAACTAATCTTGGTTAAACCTAGCTGGTTGCTAAGGTCATCTCTGAGCAGAAGTCAGTTATGTAGGAACTTGTAGGTGTTTACGCAGAGTTCTTGGAGTGTTTGCTGTATGGCTTAGTTCAGAAGTTCATGGTTCCACCTAGCGAGGATGTGCGTAAGGCCCACCTCCTTAATGGCCTCCCAGCTCTATTTAAAAACCCCTGACATAAATGACTCCATTTCATTTCACCTTTCACAGATGGACGTGGCCACTTCCCAGGCCCTGAGAAGACATTTGCTTCATTGGAAGGAAATGCGGTTCAGGAGGTAGACACCCGTTGGAAATGGAGAATTGAGAGAGAATAAGCACACAGTGGGAGGGGGTAGGGTACAAAGTGAATAGGGACAAACCCATTAGGAGAGAAGTCAAGTACTCAAGTACTTGAGGGGCTGATGACCAGTAGCAATTTGCTTTTTCTAGAACTTTCCTTGTTTGGTTTTTAAGACCTGCCATCCTGATCCTCTGCTAACTCCTTCCCAGTCCACCCAGGGTTGAAGAACAGTCTTTGAGTCTGAGAAGCTCTCAGACATTGCCAATAATTAAGTAAATTCTTGAAAGAAATCCAGAAATGGCCAGATAAAACTTCCACTATAAATAAATGATTTCCATTTCCCTCTATTTCTTGGAAAATGATAATGTGAGGAAAAAGATAAACTGCTCAGTTCTGGAATCCCAAACTCTGGGGAAAGGAGGGGGTTGATATTAGTTGTAGCTTGGGGTGAGACACCCTGGGGCAAAGGGTCACCACTGTGTGGCTGAGAGCTGTGGCTGGCCCTTCCCTGTCCTCCCCGCCTCCCCTGCTGGCACGCAGGGTGGTTGGGACTGGATGATGCGCGCCACCTGCAGGCAGAAAGCTGGCGTCTGGGAGAAATACCCGAGTATTGTTCAGCCTGCTCCTGAGCAGGAATAAAAGCCCAGGGAGTAACCTCTCTTTGGCCCGGCTTTGGGTCTCTTAGAAGACGACATGGAAGGTCCAGTCCTGCAGGGGCAAGCAGCTCTAATTTAGGCTGTGTCTGAGACCTCACCACCTCCTTCACAGAGCAAACAGAAGCCGTTGGGGAGAAGTCCCACCGCTTCCCATCAGCAGTCATTCAGAATCACCTACTTCTGTTCTCCATCTCCGCCTCGCTTCTGGTGCAGTGGGAAGTGTTCCTTCCCTACGGTGACTGCCTCCAGAATGCCCTCCCACCTCCTCCTACAACCTGTATCTTCTACCTGCCCTTCACTTCGTTCCACCAGTATTCAAGCATGCCTCAGACTCTGCCATCTTAAAAAATATTTTAAAAGCCAGAAAACAGAAATAACAGCTCCCCAATCCTATCACCCCATACACTGCTGCCTAACTCCTTCTGCCCCTTCACAGTCACACTTCTGCGAAGAGCTGATTATGCTTGGCTGCCTTCCGCTTCCTTCCCTTCCTTTCAGACCTCCATCCACTGCCAGGTCCCTCTCCTCTCTCCTCACCTGGAGACAGTGTTTGCGGGGGCCCGCAGTCCAAGAGACCTTGTCTTACATGATATATTGGCAGTGTTTGAATGAAAACCGCTCCTTTCCACTTGAAATACTCTTGTATTACAGGTCAAAAACACATACATTCTAGCCTCTCTCCCGCATTTCTGGGTACACCTCGGTGCTCCCGTCTGGTGGATGCCGCTTTACCTGGCCAGCCACTCCGACCGTCCATGGCTAGCCATGGAGTCGTACTTGACCATCTTTGCTCCCTGTCCACATCTTTCAGCAGGTCCTGCAGCTTTGCCTTCAATACCGACTTGGAATCTCACTCATTCTCAGAGGGTCCTCCTCTGCCAGCACCCTGGTCTCAGCCACTCACTTGGGACACTACAGTAGCCACGTGGCTGACCTCCCTGCCTCTACTCTAGCTACTACAGCGCAGCCGGAGTGATTCCGTACCAGTCAGTTATATTATGGGAACCGCCCCCCCCCCCCCCCCGTCTCAGCCCTCCAAGATTTTCCTCTGGGTAAGTTAATAAAGGGAAATCGCACTAAAATGGAGCCGGGAGGCCAGAAGGGAGAGCTCACATGGCATACCCCTCCACGTCAATCACAGGAAAAATTGACAATTACCGACCTCCACAGAAGAATCCTCAATAGGAGAGTGTCACCAGTAACAAGCCCCAAGAAGAACTCGCTTACCCTAACTCAGCCAATGAGAAACTGCCATCACCCTGAACTTTTGCCTTTCCCCAATAGACTTTCGTTCAAAACAACCCCTCCTAACTTCCTCCTTCTTGTCCTCAGCTTTGTTGGACTAGCTGATAATTTTTGCAGTAGTTTGCTTGTCCGAAATTGCAATTCTCTGCTATTCCCATTTTGCTGGTAAAATAACTGACTTTTACTTTTAGCATCAACATCCCCATCATCTTTAGGCCTCAGGTTACGTGTCACCTCCCCATAAATTCTCCCTGAGTTCCCACACCTGGGCTAGGAGGCCCTCCTAATTTGTTCCAGATATTCCCTCCAAGAGCACTTACTCCACCATATCCCCACAGCTTTGTTGAGCTCAATGAGGGCAGGAACTGTGTTTGTTGAATCCATCCCAGGCGCATGGCACATAGTAAATATTCCATAAAGAACTGGGAATGTACCATCCCCCCTTTCTATATTTCTGGACATATAATATTAACAGATCAGGGAACAAAATGCAAAAGAAAAAAAAGCCAGATACAATTCTGATCATTGTTTGGGGCTTATCTGGGGACTTCTCTCTACATTGTAAAGAATCACAGTTTGCCAAGCCATCTTATTTTCTTGTAAAACGGTGCCCTGCAGCAAAAATGAAGTTGTCTTTGTGTTTGTGCGTGGTCAAAGATGTGACTTGAGGGGGCGAGTGGCACACAGTACCCGAGCTTAGGGACCCAAGTTTACAAAGGGCGCAGGACCAGTTGCTTGGAGTGGCGATGACCAATCAGCCTTCGCTGTGGGCCAGAGCTGAAGGTGAAGGACTGCGCGGGTCGACACACGGACTAGTTCGATCCTGGCACAGCTATTTACAGCCACAGGCAGAAACTAATGTCAGGGGAGGAGTTTTCTGGGAAATGAAACCGAAACCTAAAGGGACAAAGTTTGCCACACTCAGTCGGGATGGGTCGAACAGCGGGAACAGATGAGCAGAGCTAAGAATGGCTGCGCTCGGCTCCTTCCCACTGCTGGTCGAAGGGTCCTGGGGCCCCGACCCCCCGGAGAACTTGAGCACCAAGTTGCAGATGTACTTCCAGAGCGCGAGGAGATCCGGAGGCGGGGATTGTGAGGTCCTCCAGGAACCCGGCACCCCGTCCCGCTTCCTGGTGTTCTTCCATCTAGAGGACGGTGAGGGGTGTAAGGGTGGGCGTGAGAGGGGACAACCGGGGTCTTCCCGCAGGGTAACTAGGAACCGGGGCGCACAGCGGGAGACCCCGCCCGGCTCCGGCAGCAGCCTTAAGGGAGGGAGGGCGCGGGGCTGCAGACCCGAAGAAGAGTGCGCGAGGGGCCATAAGCACTCCCAGCTGCTGCCTGGAGGTGGCGGCAGAACCGCGCAAGTGAGTTCTAAGGCTAAACTTGCAGCGCGATGAAACGGAAAAGAGTAGTGATAGGCTGCTTCACTCACCTCCTTTTACAAGGCGACCTACTGTGTTAGGGGCGGAGTTGCTATTCCATTGCAGTTTTTTTCCTTCCTATTAAAGCAGCTGTTCTAGAACTCCAAAGATTGATGGGAGCACGATTTGAAGGGAAGAGAAAATTTCCAGGGAGAGTCACACATCTAAACTGATTCCTGAGGGCCAATTCCGTTCCTGCAGGCAGGATATTGGGGAGGACTATTCCGATGGGAGCACACTGCATGGACAGGTGCTGGGGGCAGGGAAGCACGGGGCATCCTCAGGCGACATGCAGAGCGCCCTCAGGGAGGTTTGGGTTGAGTGGTGACTCTATTAATCTCCGTGTACAAGCAAGATCTGCAGATGGGGGCTGAGAAATTTCAGAAGGCTAAGCCGGGGCGGGGGTGGGGGGGGTGTACCTATATTTTAATAATCTTAGGCCTTCTGTCATTAAACCTCCTTCTTGTGAAGTGGTGGAGAGGAAATTAAGGCTAAGAGAAAGTTGGGTTGAGATGGTAGAGGACCTTGAATTACACCATAAAGACTATGAACTTTCCCCTAGGTAGGCAGAGGAGAGACATGTCCAAATATACTTTAACGAGATAAATTTGGTTGAAAATAAGTACCTTGACTTCTGTTGGGAGAGACCCTGGGAATCACTTTTAGGAGATCCATGCAATGTTCTAGGTTGAGGACAACTGAGTCCTTGAAACATGAAAATCAGCGTGCACATGGAAGATATGTATTCGTGTACTATTCTGGATTTGGTAACTGAGGTCAATGCTCTGAGAGAGAGGGACGGAGAGGGAGAGCCCCCCTTTTCTTCAGTTATTTTTTAGGTGGGGAATAAAAGGTGTTAAAGGAATGTGAGGAGTCAGTGGGATTTTCCTATAGGTCGTGAGATTCCCAGTGTTTCTGGGGTCACTTGGAGGAGGTATGAAAGTGTTGTCTAAAAGCACATTGGGTGTAAATATAGAAAGTTATTGGAGGGCTGCTTGCTGTTGATCTACACACAGAATCTTCATTGAGGGTGCGCTGGTACCTCTTCCCTCAGTTTCAGGGTGGTCCTTGGACTGGGAGCAGGGGTGACATTCTGAGTTTATGTGGGTTGGGAGTTTTGAGATCCCCTCAACCCTCACCCCAGGCAGTTGAGCGGCTGAGTTCTCCCCCCCACCCTTGCTGTTAGCTTTAGGAAAGAGAGGATAAGCACCCACCCAGTTATTATCTGCTGGGTCAAGACCAGGTCTGTAGTGAGAGGCCTGTGAGCTGCTGGTCCCGGAGCATGCGCTTTTTCCTTTGGAATCTCATAGGGGGAAGTGGACAAGCACTGATTCTACCTTCCCGTCGCTGGATCTGGAGAAGCATTTGAGCCAGAGGAGAGGCAATGAGGCTTACCAGAGAGAAACTGGCATGCTCTAAGCAGAGATCCGGAAAGGAAGAAATGAAACCCAGAGAGTAGAGGGGTTCCCCAGCGAAGTGTGTGTAGGGGGAGGCAGGTGGGGGACAGGAGACCTACTAGGCTCAGAGCCCTTAGGAAAACCAAGTACCGAGTTTTCCAAGGCCTCATTTCACTGAGGAATGCTCGGAAGAGCAGCTGTGCGATGTAAGCCATTTCCCCTGGACTTCATTTTCCTCAAGGAGTTTTACCACTTTGATTGCAACTGTCAACATCATAAGGGCCTGGCCCTTAGGGACACTTACCTCTTTAGAATCCTCTTAACCTCCCGAGTGGTTCTCAATTTGGGGCCACTGGCCTCTGCGTCTGACTCGCAACAGACTAAACAGACCCAATGCCTGGTGCCTCTTAGAGATTTAGGAACCCCGCGGGTGGGTGAGCGGGACTCTGTGTGCTTGACCAGCACTCCGGGGGGCCCTGGTGTGCTAAACTTTGGGAAGCCCCGTTGTTTGTTGCCAACCCTGAATGAACAAAAAAGGGAGATGATTAGTAGAAAATACCAACAGCATAAAAATACCAACAGCGCAAAATACACTTTTGTGTCAGTAACATCATTCTGTTCTAGCCCTGAACGCAGAAATGGTGGCAGTCTCCCCCACAGGCTTCCTTCCTCTCACCACCCAGCCCACCTCCCCTACCTCCGTCCCCAGGCTGCTCCAGCGGCCCCTCTTGTGGTACCCCCAGCACAGACAGCTCCAACTTAGTACAAATCGAAACCTTTTATGGGCAAAGGCCCTGGGGGCGGGGAAGAGGGGTGTGTGTGGCAGGAAGTGCCTATTCAGTTTCAGTTTCCTACCTGAGGAGCTATTGCCCCAGTAACAGGTTTCCAGAAATTTGCTAACCATGGTTGACCGCATGATCCTGGAGTCCCAGGATCGAGTCCCGCATCGGGCTCCCTGCTCGGCGGGGAGTCTGCTTCTCCCTCTGACCCTCCTCCCTCTCATGCTCTCTGTCTCTCATTCTCTCTCTCTCAAATAAATAAATAAAATCTTAAAAAAAAAAATTAAAAATTAAAAAAAAAAAAAAACAATGGTTGACCGCGCCCTCCCTCCCAGCGGTCCTGGTCCTCGGGCACTGGTTCTTCTGCAGGGATCCCCCCCACCCCCCACCCCAGGAAGTGGCCTCATCGGGTGCGAGGCACCGTGTAGCACTACTTTCTTCACATGATTCATATAGCAAGAATGAGCCCAACAGCACAGCTCTGTAGAAATTAGTGTATTGCTGGGACGCCTGGGTGGTTCAGTCGTTAAGCTTCTGCCTTTGGCTCAGGTCATGATCTCAGGGTCCTGGGATCGAGCCCCGCATCAGGCTCCCTGCTCAGTGGGGAGCTTTCTTCTCCCTCTCTCTCTGCCCCTCCCCCTGCTCATGCTTTCTCTCTCTCTTTCTCAAATAAATAAATAAAATCTAAAAAAAAAAAAAGAAGAAATTCGTGTATAGCAAACAGAAGTATTTGGAAGCTGTATCTTACTTTTAAATAGCTCACTCAATTTCTGAGAAGTCCAGTGTAAATTAACTTATTAAGCCCTGTTTCAGATGTGTGCATTTATCATCCTTTCAGGTCATAATTTGTCTTCTGATAATTTTCAGTCTGTTCGGGGTAGGGGAACCCATTTCCTCTTTAAGTAAAATTAAATGTCAGTGGTCTGAGGTTGGTGCAGAAGGGAGACTGTCCACATGGGAAAGGGTGGCTGGACATCAGGGTTTCAGCTCTTTTTCCTCCCAGATTCCCCTTGTCCTTGTGGCGGGTCACTTACTCCTATTGCTACTGTCTGCTCTCTTGAAATCCTCGTGCCCTGCATATTGTGCACAATCTCAGAACAGCTTTTGCATTTAGATGCCTGGATAAGATTCTCCCAAAGTCTAGGGGATTGTAAAAGGAATGCATCACAGAAGCCCACGACTCTAGACAACTTGGCTTACAAAAATTGACTTGTTCTCAGGCTTCAGGCTTCAGGGGTCATATGGGGTCCTCAGCCCTCCCGCTAGCTTAGGACAGCCCCTCAGGAGTCCACGTGAAAACATCTGCTATCTCATGAAGAGTGAAAGTAGAGTCTGGCGTTCTTTCTCATATTGTTTCTGGGGCCCGTTTCTGAGTTGGCATCCAGTGAAGGCCTCACACCTCCTGCCCTTTCGTGGATGATTGAGGTGGGAAAGCTATTCCAGCTCCTTCTTATGAAAGATTCCCTATATCCTTGGTCTTTCCACCCATCCACACCGGCATGCAAGATAGTGGCCCAACATGCACGTCAGAGCCACGTCTGGGAGGAGTAGGGCACTCTCAGAGGTTCCCCTTCACCCTGACCTCTTTGCACCAGCTGACTATGTTGAGCACGCCTCCTCCTCTAAACTGGCTCCTTGCTGGTTCTCCATGGCCTGAGATGCACTGATTTTCCTTTTCTCTCTCTGGCTGCTCCGGCTTATAATTATAAACTTACACTTGCATAGCTCTTGTGGGTGTTACAAAATTCATTCACAACACTGTTTCAAGGGAGGAAACAGACTCAAGAAGTTAAGATATTTTCTCAATGTCACTCATCTCGTTTTTGGCAGAGTTGGAATTTAAATCCAAGTCTTCGGACTCTTCTGTTCACTGTTCAGTTTTTTCACTACAACCCAGCTGTCTGCTGTGCTAATTCTTTTTTTCTTTTTAATTTCTCCCATCCCTTCTTTTCTACTCCTTTTACTATTGGATGTGAGGCTCTTATCATCACAGGTTAAGGAACTGAATGAAACAGCTTTTTCACTAGGCTCCTGGCCATTGTGCTCTTGGTCACTCAAATTGCCTTCCTAAAACACAGCTTTCATCGGGCCACGTCCCAGCACCCAGTCTTCTCTGGGTTCACCATGAGGCATACTTTGATTATTTCCCTTCACTTGTGGAATAAATATTGTTACCTTTCTTAGTGCCTCCTGAGCATTATGGACTGTACTAAGTCCTTTATAATGTTTTTTAATTTAATACATGTAACACCTATATAAGACAGTCTTCATTAATTACTTATTAATAGACAAGAAGACTGAGGCTTTGCAAGTAAGACTTATTAAGGAACATGCCCAGGGGTTAAAAAAAAATAAGGGTAAAGATGGGATTGAAACCCAGGTGTACTTGCTAAACTTTTCTTCTTTTCACCATACAAGGACTTGCTTGGGAAACTGACCAAGCCATTGATTGCAAATGATGAAGCCCTATGGAAATCATGAAATAATTTGATGAATAAAGATTGCTTGACAGTTTCTTCTTTTTTTTTTTTTTCAGTTCGGCAAAGAGTTCTGGAGACAAAGAACCATGAGTTGCTATGGCCAGGAATAGGAGCATTCCAGTTAACTGTCCAGTTGCCCACAGCCCCAGATGAAGTCCAGGATGTCTTTGAGGGGGAAATTCCAACAAAGGTAAGTCAAGGCGTGAGTAAAGGGAAGTAGGGTGTTCTGCCAAGCTGTGTGGGAAGAAAATCACAATATGGAGAATATAGTGGGATGAGAAGTATAAATCAAATTGGAATAGAAGGCACCTTACAGATGTGGAGGGAGTGAAAGCAGTCATGGGGAAGGTATGGAATAATGAAGGAGGGGGCGCTTTTTGTTTGATTTTAAAACACTTTCTGAAAAGTCAGAATTTGCAGATTATAATAAGGCTGCTTTGAGATGTAAATTTTTGAGTTTGTTTGGGTGCTTTTAACCTGGAACTTGCTCAGTTTGTTTTATTTTTACATCATTTTGAGGGGACAGAGATCCATACTACCTGTGCTATCTCCTTGACTGTAAAATGGGACAGTAATCCATTGGGTTGGTGGGTTGGTGGATCGTTGTGAGGATTAAATGAGACAATCTCTGTAAAGCACAAGGCACGGTGCTTGTTAATAGTAAACACTCAATAAACATTAAATGGGGAAAAGATTTAGGTGTTACCCCACACCGCAAGCACTTGGTGTTAATTGGGTTTTAGTAATTTGTGACTCATTTTTAGCAGTGATTCTTGTGCCAAGTGGATATGAGGTGCATTCAACAGCGTAAGTGCCAGAGCTTTTTATTATTGTTTCTAATGGCCCGATGTCTCCGGTCCAGTCCCAGGGACAGTTTCTCAATGTAAAGAAATTATTAGTCATTTCTTGATGCTACTCTATCGTTTGTTGGATTTCAGGAATTGGAGACCAAAGAACATGTCAAAGAACCAGGTAAGGGCAAAGAACTGAGATGGCTGACCTTCGCCAGTGGGTTTGCTTTCATTAAGGATGGCACTTGCGGGGCTCATCCTTCTCTTCTTGACTTCACAAAGCAGGGTGTGCTTAGCTTAGAGATGCCATCTGCTTACTCGCAGCCAGCTGTGCTGAGGGTGAGCACGGGGGGAGCCCCCTGAGATCTTAGGGCTCAGGTCAGAAGGATGGGAACAGATCTCTCTGTGGGGACTGGGAGACACCTTGCAATTGAAAGGAGGCGAAGAGGTGCCTGGGAGATGGTGATAAACTGACCTGTAGAGCCCGCCTGTGCCCAACTGCCATCGAGAAGCAAGGACACGATGTGTCAGCGTGTGTCCTGTGTGGCTAAGTCAGTTTCCGAGCACTGGGTCTGGAGGGCGCTGTCCTCTGGGGCCACAACAGGACGGTGGACAAAAGCTTCTACGTCCTGGGTGCGGGATGTGGGTGCAGCACCCCCAGAGCTCTTCTTATCCCTTCTGCTGTAGGAAACAGCCGCCACCTCATAACCCTTGTGGACTCTGCAGCTTTCCTAGTGTCTGGGTGTTGGCCTGCCATACCAGCTGCCACTTACTGAAGAGGCAGCTCGTTTTCCTGGCCAAGCATGCTCTTATAAAGGGGAGAGATGTCGACCTGTGCTGAATGGCTGGACAAGAGAGATAAAGTGATACGTTTATCCAGATCTTAGGGAAAAGGAATTCCGAAAAAATGTGTAAATTATTATCCTCTAAAACTGACACTGTTTTGAGAACATGTTTCCATTTTTGCAACTTTCTCTTTTGAAAATGGCAGTAGGCTGAGAGCTGCCTTTACTTGGCAAACCGACTGGAGAGGGATGTATGGATTGTTTTTACCTAACATGGAGGCACTATTCAGCCGTAGAATCTAGGATTCAAGGTTTTCTTAAGAAGCTCATGATTAGGGACGCCTGGGTGTCTCAGTCGGTTAAGCGTCTGCCTTCAGCTCAGGTCATGATCCCAGCATCCTGGGGTCGAGTCCTGTATCGGGCTCCTTGCTCAGAGGGGAGCCTGCTTCTCCCTCTGCCTGCAGCTCCCCTTGCTTGTGCTCTCTCTCTCTCCCTCTCTGACAAATAAATACATCTAAGGAAAAAAAAAAAAAAGCTCATGATTGTTATGTGATAGGAATCTTTTGTCTGTTTAGAGTAATTACTGCTTTCTATTCTTCAGATATGAAACAGGCTCAAGTAACTTCCAGTGTTCATTGGGACTCCCTAAATCCTTATCTATTTTTGGAAAACGCCTTATGTGCTGTACCCTCAAACTCAATTTTAGACCGGGAAGTGGTTTTATATTGGTACATTTATATCTGTACCATTTCCTGGGTCTAGACTTTAATCAAGTCTGTGTTTCTTATGATTTCATAGATTTTACCCTACTCTGTCTTAACTGATTTGTCAGCACTGTTTCAGATTTGCTTACAACACCAAGGGTATTCTCAGGAAGAGCCGTCCAGTCCCACTCCACCAATGGACTTTTCATTGTCCTGGAGACTTTAGACTCGTTTGCTGACCTGTTTTTACATGACCCAGACTCTAATGATAGTAAGCAGCCAGAAGTTGGGCCGTCTTTAACGAAGTACTTAATTGACCCCTTTAAGAGACATAAGAGGAGGTCCCTTGTCGAGTGGTTGCTCCACACTGAATCCTGACAGTGACCCCAAGGCTAGTACTTTTGAAATTAATTAGAATGATGTAGACAGTCTTCAGAACCGAGCAAAATCAGGGTGGAGGGTAGTTCCCTAATAGGTTCCACATTTCAGGGATGAGGAGAACAGAGAATACTGCACGCTGAGCGCACTGGGCATGCGCCAAACCCTGGGCATGAAGTTGAAGACGGATAAGCAGTTGACAGAGGAAGAATAGGTCAGTCAAGCCACACACCAACACCAGAGGATGTGGGCACTGAGCTAATGTCCTGTTCCAGGCTAAGCTGAATTGGGCTGGGTCTGCAAGGTGGAAACCAGCAATTGGAAGAACCTGTACAAGAGAGACATGCAAGAGCAGAGAGATACTGGTCACTTGTGCTCAGGAAATTCTGGCTTTTTCAACTCTATACTTCCAGCCTGGACTCTCTTCTAAATTCCAGACCTCGTGTCCGACCTTCCCGTTGGAAAATATGTTAAAGCCACCATGTCAAAGCCACCTGAGTCTTCTTCCTCACACCAGTACCCTTTCTGTCTTCCTTATTTCTCTTGAAGTACTCAACCAGTCTGCCCATCACCTACTGGAAACTTCAGTCATCTCTTTTCTTTAAGCCTTCGTGTATGTTAGTCACAGAGACTTAATACTTTTTTTTTTTTTTTAAGATTTCCTCATCTGTCCCTCCCTCATACCAGGCTGCCATTATTACCTCACAAATCCAGCATGGCAGGAGCACCCTGCTTGGTCTCTCTGTATCTGATGTCCTTTTCCTTAAATCTGACCGGCCCTTTTACTATTGCTAAATGTCCTGTCCTCCTTATCACAGAAACCTTCCACAACTCACCCTTCCTACCGACTGCAGGATAAAGTCCACACCACGTTCCTGATGAAGCCAACTTTTCTGGCCTAATTTCTTACATCTACACCTAAGTGCTCCTTGAGCTTCATCAGTCAGACCACCATTTCCTAAGTAGTTTGGCGCAGTCTTGGCACTCTGCCTGTACTTCTGTGGGCCCCAATCCCCAATATCCCACTTCTCTCTATCTAAACTCTAGAGAGCTTTCAAGATCCACTCAGCTTCCCCTTTTCCTGAAGCCTTTCCGAAGCAGCCCAGTCGCCTCTGTGTCTCTCGGACTCCTGGCTGGATTATTGATGCTCTTTATTTGGCAGTCAACAAAGCCTCTCTTGTGATGAAGCTTCTAATAGTCATACGGTTATAAAACCATGTAGCTGGAAAGGCTCTTACCATTCAGTTCATCCAGGACTCCTTTGTAAAGAGACTTGCCTGAGGTCACATGGCTAAAGAGTGGCAGAGTCAAGGGTTGAACTCAGACAACCTCACCCCCAGCTCAGCGGTCCTTCTGCTTTGTCACACCTCTCTCATTGAATGCTCTGGTATTATTGAATACTTAAGCTATTTTTAATTTGGTGTGAGTGTGTGGTGTTACATTCCACACGTAACAGGAGTATGTGTCAGGATCACCTAACTGCTGTAACAAACAACCCCCCAAATCATAGGTCAGTGTCGTCAGCAGCTGGGGAAGGGGGCAGGCTAGACTGCTTCAGGAATCCCAGGTTCCTTCCATCTTTTGACAAGATTACTTTTGATACGTGGCCTTCAAAGTCACTGCAAAGGAGAATGGAAATTCACATAAAGAAGATTTGTACTTGCCAGGCGTGGAAGTGCAATTCACACTTTCACCCCTATTCCATTAGCCACATGAACTTGGCTGTGGGAAGTCTGGGAAATGTTGCCCAGAAAGAAAACAAAATGGATTTGTTGAGCACGTAGCATTTTACTCTGCCGTGATAAACATTTACAAATGTCAGTTCCTTTTGTCATTTGACTTGTATACCTCCATTAGAAAACCTGTAAGTTCCTTATCTGATGTTTTCTGTATGCACCCCTCTCCACACCTCCAGTGCCTTGAACATAATAAGGGCCCCAGTTGAACAGTCACTCACAGAATGTCTAAAGATTATATCATATGCATCATGCTGCACTGGGCAAGTATAGAGTGGGACTGACCTGATGCATAGATGGAACTCACGTAGGGCCAAAAATGGAGAGGAACAAGCTGGCTGGGAGGATTGCTGTTCGGTGAGCTTGATGTATACATACAGCTCTCTAGGCCATTTTACTTTCTATGTGTGTTCCTTAGTCATTCAACGAGTATCCTTTTTTATCTTCAGTGATGAAAACGTATTACTTTTCAGAGCATCATATGTTACATGTCATCAGATATTCTTGCTTTCCTCCAGTGGCCCAAACAGTAAATCTCTGATTCAGCACTCTTGAGCCTCAAGTATATACTAGGTACCAGCAATACAAGGATGAATAAACATGTCCCTTGCTTTTGAGAAGCTGAATTCAGTAACTGTATAAGGTGCTTGATGGAAGCATATGTCAAAGGCTATGAAAGACAGGTTCCTCAAAGAGACAAGGCAGAAAAGGGCATACTAAAAATCAAACTTAACAATAATAGTTAAATGTTACATTTTATTTTTAACTAAATTAAGCAAAAAGCCTTCTCAGATCTTTTTTATTTGACTTAGCCAAGAGATTGAAAAGGAAAGAGGACAGTGTCTTATGATAATTTGCTAAGACCATGATAGACAAATGTAACATCTTGTACCTATTTTGTCCTTCTAAAATCAGATGTGTCAGAAGAACTGGATATAAAACTTACTCCCAGTAGAAGATCGGAGAAAATGGAAGATACCTCAGAAGAGTGTGAAAATACAGCCTCTTCGGTTGCATTTGAAAATCTCAAGACAAATGTAACTGATATAATGTTAATCTTGATAGTGGAGAATGTAACTGGCCTGTCCAATGATGCTTTTCAAGTGGAAGTATTACGAGATTTTGACGTTGCTGTAGTTACCTTTCTAACACATGTGGGTAAGATCAAATGATACTGCATTTGCCAATCTTCTTTGCGCCCCACTTTGGGATTTGAGACATCCAGGTAATGGAATGACTCTGAAAGCTTGACTTTTTCTCGTAGCTAGTAAGAAAGGACTTCAGGATAATATAGATGCTTTTTTATTTTGAAAGAGAAGCAAATTTGTTTTAAAACGAAATTCTGGTATGTTCAGTAAATCAGACTTCATTGTATGAGGGTGTGTGTGTGTGTGAGAGAGAGAGAGAGAAACAGAGAGACAGAGAGAGAGAGATAACACACCCAAACAGAAATCTAAAGTCTAAGGTTATAAAAGTGATTCCAAGCAGAAGATTCAGCATCTTTACATGCGTTATCTCACTGGGAGAAGTAAATACTGATCTGTGTTACCAAACTGGACTTATTGGAATGTAGTAATGTTGATAATAGCAGACACTCATATAGAGATACTGTAAGTCAGGTACTATGCTAAGCTCATTACATGTGTTAATTCATTTGTTCCTTTTAACAACCTTTTGAGATCATTGTTTTTCCTCCTCATTTTACAGTTGAGGAGACAAAGAGGTGCAGAGATGCTAATAAATTCTTAGATTTGAACCCCATGGCCCACCTCTACACAGCCTCTTCTCTTATGTCCTTTACCATGTATTTCCTTAGTACTTTCATGGTCATCCCACATGCAGGAGAGGAAGTGCATGGGATGCAGGAAATGAGTGCTCTTCAAGGTCCGTGTGAGGAGTCATGTCCAGAAGGACCAGGCAGTTTTCCAATCCGAGCCCTCACTGTTCCATGGCCATGGCAGGAGGATGGTCATGAAGTCAAAATTCTAGCTCCACCATTTGACTAATTATCA